TTTATTTATTGTTGCAAAAATTAACAATTCAGAAATGTTACCTATGCGTCTTTTGGGTAAGCCTCCCTCTTCTAATCGAAATAAGTGCTTCTTGAATTTCAGTAGAGCAGCCATAAAATCTGAGAATTAAATACACCCCAATTCACGTATTTTTGCTCACCCTTAATGCTTAAAAATCACCCACAAAGTGTTGTCTAATGATGTGTTTCGCCCTCTGGCATTTTATTTTTGATTTTTCCCTGTTGTTGTTGTTGTTTGCTTTCTTGAAAGGTGTCGAAAAAAATGAGAAGAATAAAAAGGCATAAAAAGCAAATGCCAAATTAAAGCTCTGTGGTTTAGTACAAGACTAGAAAGAGAATTACAAACAAAAAATAAAGACTTGAGAGTGAGAAAGAGGGGGAGGACAAAGGAGGAGGACAAAGAAAAACAACATTCAAACATGACATAAAAACTGAACCGATGAGCACTTACAGCCCCTCATTGGAGATGCAGGCTCAGCCAAAAGCAGATAGAGCACAGCGGCCGGGGCTGGGTTATTGAACTGCCTGGCCGGATTGGACACTAAAACTTCGTACCTTATCGAAATGACAAACAAATTTTAATCAACAGACAACAAGCCGCAGCTGCAACTTCTGTTGTTGTTGCTGTCGTTGTTGCTGTTGCTGCTGATGACATCCTTTTCGGTCGATTTTAAGCACGTTGATTAGACGAGCCTCCTGTGGAAGGTGACGCATTGAGGGCTGTATGTGCGGATACCGGATAATAATAGCTGCTGCTCATGATGCCAGCAGCAAGCCTGTTTGATGTTGATTATGACAAAGTTGCCTGCCTGCCTGATAAGCCTTAAAACTCTCAAACGATGAGCGTGCGAAATTCTGTAAAAAAAATATATTATTCCAAAAAGTCAAATTTTACAAGCTGTTGGCCGAATAAGCTATACGCTAACTTGAAAGATATATGAATGGATGTAGTAAATAAAGAAAAATAGTAGAAGAAGAGTAGAAGAAGAAAATCAAAACAGAATATGAATTGAAATTGAATGAATTAATGAAAATTTTTTAATATATATGTGTGTATAAAAATAAGAAGGATATCAAATAAATATGGAAATTTATAAATGTGACAAAACATAGAAAGACATATATAATCTGAAATACGATATATAAAAACATATAAAAAAAAAAAAAAAAACAAAACAAAACAAAAACAATTATACAATATGATTATCAATGAATAGCTAAACAAGAATAATTTAGTATATATAGCAAAATTGTCTTTTGAATAAGGACATGTTTTATTACTATTTATTGCTGATGAAAATGTATTAAAAATCATATGAAATGCATAAAAATATGTATTCAATAAATTTAAACATAAATATTAAAATGCATTTCACATAAAAAAAACCTTTATTTTATTTATTTTTATTTAAAAATTCGCGGCCGTATATTTGTATATATTTTAATAATATTAATATTGATAATATTGAATTTGTTGAAGCTGTTCCTGTCAAAATTCACAGCTTTCTATTTCTCTAATTTAGTTTGAAGACTCCTTGAATGCATAAATAGAAAACGATTTTTCAATCTTGCATCTGGCAACGTCCTTGCTGAACAAATCTAGTATAACGGATGCAGTAGTGCGATTAATTTATCTGCATCTCTCAAATTTGTACGTAAATTTACCCGAGCAATGGCAATTCGATCAACTTTCGTAGGAAAGTGTATGGGCAACACAATTCAGAAGGCGGAGTCGTGAAAACAAAACAGGATGCGAGGCGTTGCTGCCGCTGCTGCCTCCTGCATGCGACGCACGTGTCGCCCTAAAAAGCCGATCTAATCAAATGGAAGTAAAATGTGTAAAAGGTGGAAAATTTACGCTGAGAAAAAACGAAAGAACAGCAGCCGGAAAAATAGACAAAAAAAAAAGAACCCATATAGATATATATATATAGAAAAGAAAATGTGGAAAATGGAAAATCATAACTCGTCGACTTTTTCTATTTTTTTCATACACACACTAAAGTTCGTGCCACATGACTAGACACGAATTCGCATCGACTTTAAGCTTAAAGCTAAGTGTACCTTGTTGGCCTGGGTGGGAGTGGGTTGGGTGTGAGCCAGCCCACGAAATGGGTATCATATGCTAATTTCCATATGGTCAAACCCTTTTTCAAGCCAACGACCCAACCAACATGAGAAATTTTAATAATTTTCACTGAAGTTTTTGCTTGGCGGCTTCCAGTGCGTTGCCTTTTGGGCTAATTGTATGCTAAACGTTTGGGGCGGGATTTTGCGGGCGGTCTGGCACTTTGGTGCGACATTTGGGGGCCGAGCCGGCTCGGGGGCGGAACCAGGACCGGGGCTGCTTTTCCAAAGTTTTTGTGGCAGCTTAGAGTTGGGCCCACACGGGCGACACCCAACGACAACGGCCAACGGACACATGAGACATTGCTGGAGCTTAGAGTTTCGCTGCGAGCCGAACTATCAACATGATAGCCGGGTAATGACTTTAATTGTTGGGGGGTGTGCTTTTGATATTTGAGAGACGAAAGGAGAGTGGGGGTGTACAAAGCGAGAAAAGTTAATATTGCCTATGATGAGGCATCGTTTTTAGTCTGTGTGTGTGTGTGTGTGTTGTTGTTGCTGTTGTCATATTGCTGGCTCAGCTCTTGTTGCTCGGTTAATGTTAATGATTGCGGTGAAAAATGCATCTTCTTAGCCCAGAAAACTATGCCAGACGGAACGTGGCTAGTAGGGAAATAGGCTTAAGTGGGTTAACTTCATAAACCCATTTAGACAATGAGTGGGCTGTGAAATATGCCAAGGCAGTTGGAAAATATGGAATCTTTTATAGAGAGATATGGTTATGAGAGAAAGCTAACGATGGGAAGTTGTGCTGAGCGGGTAAAGGTAATTCATGAAGAAATTATAGTTGATAAATATATATGCAGACAGTTTA